GGTTTTTAACAGCAGTATTTTCAGCAACACAACACTGTGTTTGCGCTCATATAAAATTTTTATTGTATAGCCACGTTGAAATAATACAAAAAAGTAGAAAAACTATACCTTGTTTACTTACTATATACGAGATTTGGAATATGCGAATTCAATTTTGTTCTAAAAGTTTTGAGTTAAAGGTACAATAAGTCACGGAATGAGACTGTCATAATTATTATTTTCAAATAAAATTTTCTAATTTAATTGTTTTTATTTTTTCCTTTTACATCCATATGAACAGGAAAAGAAAATTTAGTTACATTGCAATAACAATTTACATGGTTTTATAAGTTTCCGAAAACTATGATTGTAACCGGAAATGTTATGATTAATTAAGAATTTACCTTACTTTGCTAAGATTACACCAACTAAAAATTCATTAAATTGTAATATTTTATATCGATGTATCCAAGGTTCATGGATATATTTATAATTTTAAAAATGTTTGTGTTATTTTAGAATGTTAGTTGAGAAATGGTAATAAAGCAGGACGGACAAAAATGTTTTGTTTTGTTTAAGAAAACAACAAAAAACAAAAATTGTTTATTTTTATTTCCCAAGGTTTTTTAAGTTTCATTTTTTAAATTTTGTTGTAACAATGTTATTTTTTAATACAAATTCAAAAACAGGTGTTAAAATGAGATGGAAATATAATAATATCTATATGTAAATCTATGTAGCTACACTAAAATTAAAAACATGGGAGAAAACAAAACCTTGTATAGGCAAAATATTTTTTTTTTAACTAAAAGTTGAAAAAATAAAGCCATTTTTCTTATTTAAAAAAACTTTTTTTTTTGTTTTTTAATTTGTTTGAACAATTTTTGATATTTTTTTTTTCCTCCATTCCATTTTGTCTATTATACATTCTTGATTGAAGGACACAAATTTAATTTTTAAAGTTTTGTAAAATAAACCTTAAATGAAAATATTTTTTTCCAAGGATAGGCTAAAAAAATATGAAAATGACTATTTAAGAGATTTGCATTTTATTCTAAATAGAAAATTGTTAAATTTCATAGAAAAGTTAAAGATATTGTTTGATTGAATAAGCAGTTGAATTTAATTTTGTAAGGTTTCTAACAATTTTTTTTGTGCAGTGCTTTTGTAATATTTTTGAAACTATTCTCAATAGAAATGTAAAATTAACGTTAGTGTGCTGCTTTTATTTATTTCACAATTTTTATTTAAAAGATAAAAATTATTTTTCGAATATTAAAATTAAAAGAAACTTTGTTTTCAAATCTAAATTATGAGTACTTATGTTTTACTTTTAATTGGTTAATAATCACAAGATTTTACCTGATTATTTCGATTTTGTTAAATAATCTGCCTAATATTGTATAGTTCAAAGCTATGAGAGGAAATAAAGTAATAATAGCACTGATATGAAGGTCATAATAGAAGCTTTTAGATTATTTATGGGTTAATAACGTATCTACAATAAATTCTCCATAAAATTTACTATTATAGAAGTAATAGAATTGAAATTTTGAATTTGAGCTATTTTCGGTCAAATTTTACTTGGAAAAATGAATTTCATTGGTACTAAAATGAGAATTAAAAATGTAAACTAGCATTTCTTTAGTTATCAAAATTAATGTAGATATTTCTCTAAGTATATAAATACATAATGTCAATTTTTTCATATAAATGTAGAGGAGATGGATGATGTAAGAACAAATCAGAAACAATTATTTTTACCAATTTTTATAAATTTTCTTTCATATTGTTTAAGTGTATTTAACTGGATCGTCTTTTAATGAGCCTGGCCAGTAAAAAAGGAAAAAATACTTTGTCTGTTAGGAAAAAGCTCAGAAGCTATGAAATCGTTCCTTTACAAAAATTCTGTGCCCAGTTTCTAAACGTCAGTGTTGAAAAATTTATTTGCAGCACACAATTTCTAAAATTACATTGTGAAGGATAATTTTTATTCACCTGATATATAAAGAATATTATTAGGTACTGAAATGTATCATACATATGTTCTATTCCTTCAAACACAAAAGGAATCGATTACATTTAATCTATAAGGAATCAATAAAAGTAAGAAAGCGGAAAATTAAAATTTATTTAGACATTTTTTTTTTGAAGTTAAAAATGTCCTGCTAAAAAATGATATTGATTGCATCTAAAATGAAAATCCATTCTTTCAATTATTGCATTAAAAATATTTTTTATACAACAATATTCTTAAAATATCCTTATTTGTAATTTTACTTCAATCCAATCATTATTTTATCTGCACCTCATGTCGAATAAAGGACTAAAATTGCTTTTATATTAAAAACAAAAACATTTTCAATGCGGTCCGATAAAAACCGAAAAACAAGAAAATATTCCTTTTGTGGTTTTTATAGCAAATAAAATCATCAGTATAACAATTGGTTCATAAAGATATATAAAGCAAAGAGGAACGTAAAATGAAAAGGACATGAAAGAGAGAAAACTGGCTCGGATTGCAAGGATTTAAAATGTAAAACTGTATAATTATGTAATTTAGATTTTATTCTATTCCTTTAGATAAATGTGCGTTACTGAACATTATTATATTTTATTTGTACTTGCATCGGATTTTCTATTTGTATAACAAATTTGAAGGAAATTAAAGGGTTACAAAGTAGCACGATAACTGAGACACTATTTTTTTTAAAAAAACTAGATAACTAAAATCAAAATTAAAAGCTTTGAGTTTACAAAAATAAAATATAAAATTATTTTAGTGGGAAATTAGGAAATTTTCAGTTAGCGTTCTCCGGTAGGCAAAGTTTGGATTTTTACCATAAAAATATTTAGTTTAGATAAATAAAGGAACATATCGTTAAAATTAAAAATTAAAAATTGTTCCTAATAAGTCAAACACATCAATTCACAATTTTTTCCATATATTCAAACTTGGTTATATTCAAACATTATTAAAATTATTAAAAAAAAACATTAAATTAAATTAATTTTCTTAAAAGTATTTATAATAGGCCTATAATATTTTGTCTTCGACATTTACTGACATCTTATCCGAAACTCTGCAATATTATACTCGTTTACGAAGATGATAATACCCGGAATATTAATTAAGAAAACTTCCATTAGAAATATTTGAAGAAAACGCAACTTTCATATTTCGTTCAGGAACATCATCATTGTAGATTGTAGATTTCAAAGTAGGGGTAACAGTGTACCGCAACCAGCTTAAAAGGAGTTATTGCGCTCCTTAAATGGGTGTGTAAAAAACCCTACAACACCCTTTCGAGACCTACTCTCCTGATAAGATAGAGTAACTTTGAATACCCGACAAAAAGCAGTTCTGCCGGAGTGAGCATGTAACTCCCCAGTATTTCCCATTATCCATGGGACATCATCATTGTTTAGGGTATGTTATAGAAATGCGCAAAAATGTCGCCTAATATAACAATATGGACGACTTTTATTTTCATAATTGTGCAGAAATTACTTTAAGTAGCTGATAGAATATGCAAAGAATCTACGACAGAATGCAAAGCAAAAAATTTAAAGTTTAAAATTTGAGTTCATTAATTAGTTCACTTATTAGTTCACTAGTTTATTTCTATTTAAAAAATTTTCAATTAATTTGTAGTTTAAATTGAAAACTGATTGCTATGTAATACGGTAATTCGTAAGTATTTTCCATAAAACGATAAAATAATCTAAATCAATTATAGTTATAAAATATACAAAACACAAAGTATAAGTGGTCCCGATAAAAATGTTTGTATATGTTTTGATTTATTTATTTAAATTGAAAAGTAGAAAAAATAATGTCATTTTACATCATTTTATTGATGAAATAATTTTCAATATTATTTTATTCGAATTATACTAGGGACAATAGTATAGTAATAATTAATTTACCGACAAATAGAGTCTATAAATTTGGAAAAGTTACACTTAAATATTTTTACAAAATGATTTATTTTGTAAATGGTTGTCTTCAATTTTCATTCGAAACTTATTCTAAAAACTATTTTTTATTAATTACAATTGCATTACGCTAATATAAATTTGGTAGAATGGTGCAGTTTAGATGGTACTATACAAAATTAATTTGAATAATATAATATTATGTAAATTCTAGTACAATGTGCCTTGCTTTATAATCTAATACGAGTATATCAAAAAATTTTCCGCTAAATTACGAGTAACTAATTTAAGAATACAAAAATTTTAAAAGAATCAAAGGAGGAAATTTCAGTAAGTTTAATATTAATATACACTATATTACAGCAAATATACACTACACAGAATACACAGTAACATACAACCATACAATATGACTGTTCAAATGCAACAGAAATTTTTTTTTGTATTGAATAAGAATAATTGCAGATTTACAGTTTAAGAGTTATAAATCAAAAATGTAGTCACACATATTTTATTCAAACTCACGGCCTCTGACATGAACTTCTCTTAAGCATTTTTGATTCTGTTTCTTGAATCGAATTTATTTTAAACTTTAAAAAATATTCGACATACGCAAATGTTATTGCAAACTATTTCTTGTAAATAATAATTTCTAATGAATGAACCCAAGCTTGCTGAAATCCATATACATTGAATGTTTCACATCATTAATATTATTAATCACTTAAAATAATGATGGCAAATTTGAAAGATTTGTGTATTTTTATCTTAATCCCTTATTTTGATCTTTGAATATACAAGTGTTCATATTAGGTACATACAATGTAGAATTACTGTAGGAAAATATAATCATATTTCAAAACTTTTTATTCACCCTGTCATTGACTATACCACCAATAATAATAAAAATTATTGCACTTAAAAGGACCGAATATAAACTGAATCAGCATTGTTTGAAGAAGGATTTAAAAATACACAAAATGTACAATATACCTACATAATATGCTTTATAATAACTGTATACATACATACATAAATATACTTAGAAAATATCTAACGATATTTATAATAATATTATGTACCTTCATTACAATAAACTTCTAATGAATCCGATGTTTGGTTAGCAACAGTACAATTTAATGGTTGGTCTGGTTTTCCGGCTGCAATCAAATGAAATACGCAAGGTTCTTTTTGCTGACCGACGACATTATCCGCCCAACACATTATCGTGCCAAAATCCATTTCCTGTAATAAGTAAAATACGAGAAAAAAAAACCAAAAAGAATTAGAAATGAAAATTAGAGCAGAAATTTTTTTTATGTAATGCATAACAAAATATATTCACAAACACACAATATTATAAACACATACATATAGCACATTATGTTATGTGCACGATACGTATGTAAATACATACTCTTCCATATACAAAATGTACAACGAAATGGTTTTATAAAATTAAAGTTTATTTTCAAATAATAGTTTTAAAATAACAAATGAAATACTAGATATTTTGTGAATTTATTGAAGTTTGGTTAAAATAATTTACAAGGATATTAGGTTTAGGTACATACATACATACATATTATATTTTAGTTTTTATTTTTAAAATTATTTTATAAAAACTCTTCAAAAACTGAATAAAGTTTGAAGAGATTTAATCAGATATATTAGAGTTCTATAATTCATTTGAAATATTTTTTTGGAAATATTTAAATAAAATCCTGCGAGTTGATAATAAATAATTTGAAGATTTTTGATTGTGGCACTAGAAATTTGTAAGAATAAAACTATAGTACACGTTTTGATATTTTTCTATATAATTTTGTAACAAAACGGGAAAGATTATTCTTTTTAAGTTTATGCTTAAGACATGAATTGATATTATAGAAAATTACCCCATTTTCTTTCTATTCTAAAATGAATACATCTTCTTCTGTAAAAAACATATCGGCCCAAATTTTCATCGAAGTTGCACCGAATATTTAAACGAAAAATAACTTCAAAAATTAAGCGAGCCAAAAATTTTTTGTGCACCTATGTGTGTATGAAATAAAATATTAAACTTATATGGGGAGATTTAGAAAATTTATAGAACAATGTATAACACTGGTTAGAGGACGAAGATTGGTAAAACTTTGTTCCTGAGTACTTGCAAATTCCCAACGGTTCTGAGATATTTGGGTATTTTAAACAAATTTCGCGGAACATTCACATGCCTAAGTTTAATTGCATATAGTTTCCGTTTCAACAAAGATAGAAAATAGTAACTAATTTTTAGAAGGGGTTATAAAGGACTTTTAAATTAATGTCAGATTATTTTCTTATACAACTACTTTCAGTAAGACAAACATTCAAAATTTAGAAAATTTCTAATTTTTTTGTAAATACAAAAATGAGAAAATGTTTTATTTTAAGACCTAGTGGTAAATGTTTGAATGGTATAAACTGTTTTAATAAAAAAGTAGAGTTTTATTCATTTAATTTATGAATTTGGTTAGTCAATTCACTACCACATTAGTTTGTCAGTTAATCAGTAAATTTCGATAGGATTTCCTTTCCATGTTTACAATGTGATAACGAAAGAAACTCCTAATATTTTATAGAGCAATCCAAAGTAAGAACATATAAAAACGTTTCAGTCGGTATAAACCGATCGAATTATACCCTGCACCTAGACAATCTGAGGCTTAAAATTTTTTTTTGAAATGTATAGAATTATTTTTTGTTGTTGTTTACCAGTTACTCGAATCTGTCAAACCACTCTATAGAAGCTTCACGGAAATGTCTGACCTCTAATTGGACACACAAGTGCCAAATTTCATGAATCTAATAAAGTTGTTTTTGAAATATTTAAAAAAACCTCTTTGAGGTGTATGGCAGCCACCCAAATCCGTTACCAGAATTGGCCCAATTGCAATAGTAGCCGTCTTTTGCACAAAAGAAACAACTTGTGAAAGTTTGGTACCGATTTTCCTGAAACAAGTTTCCCACACATACTCATATGAGAAGTTTTTGGCTTTATTTATTTTTTTAGACTTATTATGTTGTACGAGTATGAGCCCATTTACTTGTCCATATAAGCTTATTACTTGGGATTCAGTATAAGTGCTATTGATAGGATTCTTGATATTATTTAGATTATATATATTTTATTTACACATACCTACATTTTTTGGCAATTTCAAAAGTAATTGTCCATTTGGTTTGATTTGATGAAAATACTGCTTACATTACCGAAAAATTGCTGTTGATTTCTAATTCTCATTCGTGCATTGTATTTACTTGAAAAAGCTAAAATTAGATTTAAAAATTTCAAAGAAGACTCTTTCGACCATAAACCATTTTCCTTATACTAGATTTTGTTAACATTTTTCTAAAAATTCCATAGAAAAATGAAAAAATGATATTCGGTGGAACTCGTTTAAATTTTCCTTAAATTTTTAATCTTTCAATTCTTTCATTTTTTGCTTAAGAGCTAAAAATAAACTAAACTTGTATTATGTGTGCGGTTTTAGAAAACATAATGAAAAGAGAGACTAAAGTAAAAGGATGATTACAAGGATTTTTAATTTATAAAAATTTCTATAACAATAATAATATACTTTTTCTCCTTTTTCTCTCATTTAGTTCAACTGTAACTTTAACTAAGAGGTTTCTCTTCATTCCTTTTCCTTCCTTTTTTATTTTTTACCTAACCTCAGTTCATTTAGAGTCCTTTCAATTCCTTAACAAATTTATTATCAAAATTAAATAAAAACTAAAAAGGAAAATAACATATGAAGGCATTTCTTAATTGAAAATCGTTAATTATATGAATGGGTTTTTTAGGTTTTTCTCTACAATATTATTATACACAATATGCACGCACACACATACTAATATTTTTTAACATGTTGTGGAAAAATATATTATACATAGTGTATTTATCACGTAAATTTTTTGACTAAAAGTATTATTTTAGAGAGTAGCGTCTAATAAAAGTTTGGATAATACTCGTGGAATGATAGAGGGGGAGGGGGGGTATGGATTTGGGAAATGGGGAGAGACGGAATGAAACCGAAAATCATATAACGAATAGAAAACCAAAACGGAAATGAGACTTAAGAAAAGAACCCAAAAATTAAAATAAGAAAAATGAATTTTCCACTTTCTACATTTTGACTTCTAATATTGATTGTTTCGACTATTTTTTTTACAGGAGTTAAGGATAATACAAAAATAAAATTAAATTTAAAATTTATGTGGAAAAATGTGACATGTTATTTAAAACTTTAAGAAATCTAATGAAAAATAAAGTTTATCTTAACTTTTACAGAAAATCTAAAAAAAACAAAAAGTTTTTCAAAAAATTTATTAAAGAATCTTCATAAATTAATAATCCTTTTGTGAAAGCAAGAAAAATATAAGAAATAAGGAAAATTTAATGAAATTTTTCAAAATTTGAAATAAATTATTTGAAAGTTTTTACATTCTAAAACTAAAGTTCATTTACTTGTCTATAACTAAGAATTTAAACTCATTTAAACACAAACATCTCGACACGGTTTCTTATCTTTGACAATGCAGGTTTGTTCTGCAAGAAAAAAATGCACAAAGAATATTGTGTACCGATTCCTTAGTCAGTAAATAAAAATATACTTTAAAAATAATTTTAAATTGTAAGATTCAAATATTGAAAAACCATACACACAGTCTTTTTCTCTTTTACTGTATAATTTTTAAATTAGGCTCTGTACAAACCATGAACAATAAGAATAATGGTTGAAACTGGAAATGCAAATATATACGAATAGAAAACTAAACTGGAAATTATAACAGTAGGTACAGTTTCTATAATGTAAACAATAAATTTTTTGTTTATAAATACGAACACTTAGAAGAGGTTTCTAGGAAATATAGGCATAATAAATTAAAAATTCTGTTGAATTTCTAAACAGAACCCTTATTGAGAACACTATACTGAGAATAGAAAAAAAAATCATTATAAAAAATTTTGTTAAAAAACATTTTGATTATTAATTAAATATTAAATCACATAAAAATTTCTCGGCATGACCATTTATAACAACTTTCATTAATATTTCCCAGAATACTTCTCTCAAATCCTATTAATCTACTAATAATATGTACTGAAAACTATATTCTAAAATAATTTCAAAATATACGCGGAAATGTTGTTAAGGTGCTATTCGTAATTCGTTAAATATATAAGCTTAATGCACACTATTTTCTGTTACACTACTATTTTTGACCTTGTGAAAATTATTATCGTCTATTTTTTGTACGGCCATTCAAATCTATAATAAATTATTAGCTTTATTCTATACTTAAAGAAAAATATTGTTAACCTCAATCAAAAAAAGCAGTGCATTGAATCGCGTTTTAACAATCCTTTTATTCTCTATAACAATATATTTTTGTATGCTTTTTCTAAAATTCTTATACGAATAGAAAGAATGGCCGTGCATTCGAAAACAGAATGAATGGTATGCTATTGAAAGTAAAATTCAGTTTTATTGATAAGTGGCTTACGATCATTCATTTCTTTTCATTTGGGATGCAACCACTTTTTTGTTTGTTAACGCGTATTATCTATTTTGTGAGATTTTTGGTAAATAAGGATTTAAATTGATGTAGCCATGATGGAAAAAAGCATATATGTAGGTATAGTCGAGGCTAAAAGAACAAATTCTATTATTGAAAAAATAAAAATCAAATTCAAAGTGATGAAAAACTATAAAAAAGGATAAGAACAACAAAACTGTAAAAAATGTTCCTATAATATGCACATTATGAAAATATCATATGAGAAATCGCCAGTATTTGCGATTTGTGCAATGATTGAGAATATTTTCGTGTTCGTTTTGCTGTGCGTTTTTTTTTTTTTGTTAATTAAAGTGTAAATTTTAATTCGATTGGGAATTTTTATGTTCATTTTTAGGATTTGATTGAATTTTTTCTTTCCTTCTGTAGTATTCAAAAATATATGTAGGTTTTTTGATGGTTGAATATTAGGAATTCGTATTTTAAGTAGAATTAGGTTGAAAAAAAGTGTGTAATTGTATTAATTTTGCTTTGTTAATTTGCCTAAGATTTTAAGATTTGGATATCGAAACGAATCGAATTGAATTTCTAAATGAATAGAATGAATTCTCAGTTTTTTGGTGGTAATTTAAATTCCGCATTTAAAATCTTAAAAAGTCTTAGATGACACGTCATGAATGTGAAAAGGTTATGTGTTC